AAATTAAAAATCTTCCTCAAGTCTAGTCTGTTTCGTCCATTAAGGCAAGTGATGTCCCTGCCCTTATCTTGAGACACATGGAGTGAGAGAGTGGTTGGCAGCTGGCAGCCAGCTGAGGTCAACCACATTTGGGATTCGAATTTGGGAACTGAAATGTACAAATTTAGGTAGTTCAATTATACAAAAGCAACCAAAGTTCATGATTCATTACAACACTAAGCACACTTGCAAATAGTGAGGTGGGCCAATACTTGCTACACAGAAAGTATATGGTGGTTCTACCACCTGCTGCCCCCTGCCACCCTCTGTGAAGGTTCAGAGTTCTGGAGTGGTTTCAAAAGCTGCTTAAACTGATTTAAGGCTTTGCTACTGCCAAAAGAGAAGAGATCCTGCCCTACTTTTCACAAGAATATCACTGCACTATTTTCTTGTGAGGCAGCAATAAGGCTTATCTGGCTGAAAACCACTGTTCATTTTTAGTGCTGGAACAAAAAGGGAGCATAAGATCATCACTTCCAGCAAAAATGTTACCATGAAACTACACCCTTGGAGTGCTTCAGGCTCATGATTTCAATGTACTTCAGAAAATAACTATGCTTAAGAGACTTGGATCATAGCTGTTCCCCTAGCTTCATACTGGGGCTTCTTAAAATGTCCATCCTGATTTATTCAGATGTAAAGATAGTCAGAAATATCCCACTGGGTTTTTTTAAGCCAATTTGTCACAAAATTCTTTGACATTGCTTGATCAAATCTGTGACAGGACCAGAGGACTTTCTGAATAGATCTAAATTTATGGTCTACAAATCTGGTATCCTCTTTGTGACAAATGACAAGGTCAACCACTTAACAAATGTGCATGATCTCCTGCAGTAGTTATCTGTAACATAACTCATTCCATGAAAGAATACCCTACCCACTTACCCATTTACTTTGTCCTACACGTGGGGCTTTTTTCTTCCTCCTAAAATCTTGCAATAATTTACTCATGGAACCATAGAATATGCTGAGTTGGAAGGGACCTGACTCAACTTGGAAAGTCCAACTCCTGGCCCCCAGAATCACACCATGTGCCCAAAAAGCACTGTTCAAACACTTGTTGAACTCTGTCAGGCTTGGTGCTGTGACCACTTCCCTGGGGAACCTGTTCTGGTGCCCAACCACCCCTTATATCCAACCTAAACCTCTCCTGACGCAACTTAAGGCCATTCCCTTGGATCCTGTCACTGGTCAGCACAGAGAAGAGATCAGTGCCTGCCCCTCTGTTTTCTCTCATGAAGATGTTGAAAACCAGTGAGGTCTTCCCTCAGTTCCTCTCCTCCCGGGTGAACAGACTAAACAACCTCAGCTGCTCCTCACACGGCTTCCTTTCCAGACCCTTCACCAACCCAGCTGCCCTCTGGATGCTCTCAAAGGCTTCATGTCTGTTTTATCTTGCAGCACTCAAAGCTGCCCCCAGCACTGGAGGTGAGGCCACCCCAGGTCACAGCAGAGCAGGACAATCCCCTCCCTTGCCCGGCTGGCGATGCTGTGCCTGATGCCCCAAAGGACAGGGTTTTCCCTTCTGGTCGCCAGGGCACTGCTGGCGCATGTGTAACTTGCCATTGACTAGGACCGCCAGGTTTGTTTCTGTGGCACTGCTTTCGAGCCCCGCATTCCCCAGTCCATCCATAAAMCCAGGGCTGCTCCATCCCAGAAGCCCTTGTTAAACTTCATACAGTTGGTGACTGGTCAAGATCTCTCTGTAGGGCCTCTCCCCTCTCAAGGGAGTTGACAGCTCCTCCCAATTTAATGTTGTCAGCAAACTTATTTAGTATTCCTTTGTGTCCAAGTTGTTAATGAAGTTGTGGAAGAAAACTGGCCCAGGATGGAGCCCCATTGCTACAACTCTCACTGCCCTATAAATTCAAAACTGTTTTGAATTTTCCCAGCTCCTTGGCTTAATCCTATAGTAATCTACTGGGGTTTTATTCCAGCCAAGTAAAAACCACAATTCTCTTCCCAGATATGGTGTGCACCTGTAGGTGCACACTTTTCCCGTAAATATATTATTTTCCCAAGTAGTTTTAGATTCTTTTCTGCTTGCCAAAAAGGAAAGAAAAGGCATGTTTCCCCCCACCCAATAAACATTTGCAGGAGAATGAGTATCTGGTTTCTGACCATTACCAATGCTGAGATTGACCGGGATAAATAGCAAGGGCTCCAAGTACCACCTCTGGCTCACTGGGCCAACTATTTGATTGTTCTCATGTTGTTTAACAACTTATTTATAATTGCTGCTGGTTTAGACTGCAACACAGGAAGTGCAGCACTGTGGGAAGAAAGAGGCCTTTTTTTCACCAGTAATTTTATTCTTCTTTTGGGAAGAGTAAGATCTGCACTTGACTGTATTACTTAGTGAAATTTTATTTTCCCTACAGAAGTTTTCAGCATATCTGATTCATCCTGAATTGTCCAAGCTCATAAATCTCATTGTAGCCTATGTTGCCAATATCAAATATCTGAATTTACTTTCACCGTAGGAGCAGAGCTTAATAAATTTTAACACATTGATTAAAGTAATTTTTGCATTTATTATTCTCTCCATTTTTAATGCGTATACACACCATAGATCTATGTAACTTTCCATTTTCACTGTTGCTTAATGGTTTAAGATGGTAATGATTAAAGGACAAAAGATGTATCCATCTACAGCCTAAGGGTTTTAATTTATCAGTGGTAAGTAGGGTCCCAAAAGAGAAATTAGGGGAAACATTAGTTCAGAATAAAAGGAGATAAAAACCACAGGAATAAGAAATTTTTGAAATAGCTCTATTTTTAGAGACAGGTTCACAGTCTATCAACCTTTGTTTGCCTATAATTTTGGTGTTCATTGCACTAGTACCTTAGTCCTTATTTCTTGAACAGTCCAAAGATGCCAGGGCTCCTTGTTTTTCTTAAATGGCTGGAAACTAAATACTTCTATGGCAAGAAAATGGGAAGAAGGGACTCATCAGAGTTTTGCTACCAACTGGCATGGTATCTTGAGTTAAAAAGGATCAGACCATTGAGACTGGTTGGTCTGGGGCCTTCTGATTCTGGATCTGTACTACTTACAGCCTTCCTCTGTGCTCTGTGGAGATCCCTCAGCTGGTCTGAGCACCATTCTGACTTTTTAGAATGTTCAAAGCAACTACACGGGAAGTAATAGTTCATGTGAGAGGAGAACTGTTTTCAACCCTATTACTATCAAAGCAAAAAATACCTCCAAAGCGAAAAATACCATCAAAATCAACACACCGTAAATGTTTCTAAATGGAAAGTAGTATTAAAGAGAAATTGCATCTAAAACACTTAAAGGAATATTTTTGCCAGTATAATGATGTTTTTAAGTAGGAGGACTCCTGGGTTTTTTTTGTGTTTCAGTAAACACTTCCTGATACTCAAAAAGTCCCAGAAGGTGTTTCCTACTAACTCTGTTCACTACAGTATCCCCTTTAACCCAATTTGTAATACATTATATAGACAACAGCACACTAAGGGATCTACCAAACAAATTCTGTGACTCAGGTGACAAATTAAGAAGCATTTCTAGTTTAGATTTGTGCATGAGATCCTCAGGTTTTGTTGCATCCATATGTGGTATAGATTTTTTTTTAATTCTCCTGGATTCATTTATATTCTATTTTTGCTTTCATTTGCTTTTCCACTTCATATTTACCTTACAGACAACTTTATTCTATTTCACATTCCTGTAAACCTTATTGCAGCTCACAAGTCTATGTGGATAATCTCTTTAGTAGCAATACTCTTCAGGGCACAAGACAGTGCATGCAAGTCCTTGAAGCTATTGTTCAAATGGAAATTCAACTTTCAAATCCCAAAACATTTGCTTTTATTTAAATTAGCTTGAGCTATAACACTGGTGACTTACTCCCAGACACATTCATGAGACAGTATTTCATATTCTCACAAGAAACGRCCTGTAACTGAGATACAGGTTAAACAGAAGTGAACAGAGTTAAACAGACACTGAACAGAGATTGAAATTAATTTTATCACTGTGATGAACACACTACTACTTCAATCAAAATTCATTTGCAAGTTTTGGTGGAACAGGAACAGAGTCAGGGGAATTAGAAGACTAAATATGTTTTATAGAATCATAGAATATGCTGAATTGGAATGGACCCAAAATGAAGAGTCTCCTTGCCAAATGTAAGTACCTTGCAGGAAATAAAGACTTCCTTATTAAATATATTTATACCTGGATGTTATACTCTGTTAATACAATTGTGGCATAAATTCCATTTTTGGCTCCTAAAGTCAGAAAAGGGTCTAGAATGCAAACCTGATCCTATAATCACAGCTCCTAATTTCACTGTGCTGTCTACATCACTGGTACTGAATTTTATGAAATGACTACAGAAGGAATGGGACTGCCTGGTGGAGATTGAGGTGTACAAGCATTAACTCAAATGGAACTCATTAGTTAAAAGGGCACGGCAGACATTCTATCTGCAACCTGAAAAGTCATAGTACCTTCCTATATGCAGCTACATTGCATAATATACTCACAGGCAAAAATATGAGGACACACACTACTGAATGTACTAATCAAAGGCAAACCTCACTCAGAAGTGATCTGTTTAGTGGTGCACAATGGCAGATGCCACAGCATATTTTTTTGTGATGCAAGGCTGCTCAAGATCATCTATGGATAATGAACCGTGACAGCTTGGGATTTGATAAAACACAAATTGATCGTGAGAGAAGGCAAAGAATATAACTACTATCTGAACAACAAATGCAAATCAACTGGATATTTGAATCTTTAATGTCAGAAAGAAATACCAAGTATTACTACAAAATTGTATGTTCATTAGTTTAACAGACTTTGCATCAGAAAAAGCTGTTTCTTTAATTTCTTTACTACCTTCGTATTTTATTTCTTGGAAAGTGCCATCGATTAAAGCATTTAATAGGTTATAAGGTAACAGAATATTGTTTGTTCCAAATACCTTATATGATTGGCATCAATGCAGTTTTCACAGGGAAATCTTCGATGAAGGCTCTAGTTTCTTCACGGTTCAGAAAAAAATCCCTTTTCTCCCTTTAAAAGAAAGACACTTCATGTAAAGACTTGCCAGTACCCAGAGTGCTGTATTTTTCATCTTTGCGCATGAACTACTGTTTATAAACTCCTTTAAATATACTTGGTTTGTTCAGTGTCTTTCAGCTGATTGCCCATAGCTGATTATCATAAGAGTTAACCAGATTGTAAGGAAAAACAGAAAAAAGTACATGGACAAGATTTCTTCACTATGGACTGATCTGGACTGCTTTCTTAGTGTGGTCCAATCTGTGGATTTCATCAGTGAGCCAAATAAAGTACATCATAGTGATCTTGCACACTTTTCTAATGCAGTAATCCACAAGATTCCTTAGCATGCTCAGTGAATTTATACGGTATCGGAAAGACATGGATTTATACTTAAACATCTTTTAACTTCTATACACAGACAATTTCAAAACAGTTTTGATTAAGGGGCAAAAGTGACATCAGTCAATTCAATCTTAGACTCCTGTCATTTCCTAGAACTATTCACATTATTCTAGGGTTTTTTTTTTTTCCCTTCTCTGCTCTTCTATTTTCCTTCTATAGTCTCCTATTCTGGTATATTAATGGAATTCACATGACTTTTCCCCCACAGCTATGACTAGAAGCTCCAGTTAAGACTGAACGCTCACTGTGCTGGAAATTGTTTGAAGAAGACTGTTAGAGATCTTAAAGATTTTTATAAATTGAATCCCTGAGACAGGAAAGGAGTAAAACTATATCACATTATTTGTTCCAAAGATGAATGCCAAGGTACACAAAAATTAAACAATATGACACACAATGAGTCAGGTTTAAGGAACCTTTTCAGTCTTAAATGCCTTGAATCCTTGCCCAGTACCTGAATCAGAACCCATAAAACCTGTCCTCAATCCCCATGTATTATATGTAGCATTTTTGACTATTTTCCTCAGGGGAAGTACTATCAATATTTCATTCTGTCAGACTTGATAACATTTAAAACTGTAGAATTACAAATAAAGGGTTTTTTTCAAACAGCAAAAGCATTGCATTAAATAAAAAATTCATTAAAATAATTTTAAATACTCTGGAAGCTTTCATTTTTTACTAGTTAAGTACTAACAAATCAATACTGTAAAACTGATGGAATTTTCTATAAAAAGTCCTTATCAGCAAGGTGCATTGAATTCAATTTACAGTCACCAAAGTCAGGTGGCACAAGAATTTACACCACCAAATAATGTGTCTTTTCCACCAGAAAAGGAAAGAAAGACTAAATCCTTCAAATTACTCCAGGATAGAGGGTTTTAATCAAAAAACTACCAGGAAAAGCTGGTTAAAAATGTTCACAATCAACAATTATTTTGTAGCTTGCGGCTGTCTGGATAGAATATATTTATTTATCAAAACAACAAAGTGAAATTAAACTCATTAGATGCAAACCACAACACTAATAAAAAAATCACTGCAATATCAAGCACTCAAAATTTAGTTCAGTCTATTTCAAGGCTTTATGACAGTCTCCGAGTCACAATATTTTGTGGGGAGCTATGCTTATTCAGTGCTCGGGTTGTTTTCCTAAGAAATTTAAAGGGTTTACCCCTCATTTTCTGTGAATGCTCTAGAACTCATACACCTTATAGGGAAGATTTAAAAAAAACCAACTATTTTCATGATCAATTTTTTTTGGAGATAATAAAATCCACTGATTTTATACGCCAAATAATGGATCCTCATTTCTTCTCCAACTCCCCTCTATTTTTTCCTTCAGTGCATGCAGCATACATTGTAAATTCCTATAGACCCAAGACAACTCCCACTCAATTTCATTTTCCTGCCTTCCTGGCTCATTTCTCAACCATTCCCAGTTCTCTCTGGACAGGATTACTGGCTGGTACTACTGGCAGTTATGCTGGCAGCTCTACATCTGCTGTCCACATATCCAATTCCTTATTAAATTTGTCTTCTCTAGAGCTCGCTGCCAATTCTGACTTTTTTTTGTCTAGTCAGTCCCAATTTCCCATTCCACGTCCAATTTTTATGCCCTTCACAATTATCCAGGTTGACTATTAATCCACTGCCTTTGCCCATCAAGTCTCAGCCATTCCCTCCTCAGCTCAGTGCTGACCAATTTTCTGGTACTCTTCTGTCCACTGGGGTCCTGGCAGAGTTCTAGCTGGGATAACACACAGAGGGAGTATCAAAAAACATCATGGGAAACTCTTTTTAGATCTTTTTCATCTTGGCACAAGAAGTCTGTTGGGCAATAGGATGCTGTGAGTTTATCACAATCAGCCTCTGGAGTTTTGAGAAACCAGAGCACAATCAGCCATGACTGTAAATGGAATTTTTCGTCTTTTTTCATTAACAGATCCCTCTTCCCTCTGTGAATTCTTTTCCTTTTCAAAGGGCTTATGATTTTGCTATTTCTAGTGAATATTCACAGGCATGGCACAAACATATCCTGTCAGAACTGGCAATCTCACTGCTAGGCAGAAAACTCAGCTCTGCCAAAAAGGCTTCTTTCAAATATGACGGGTAGTTTTGTGTTGAGATCTTAACTGTAATCCTAGTCAGATGCAAATATTTCTAAGAGACAGGAGTTAAAATATGGCACTCAGGAAAAGACAGATAAATCAATAAAGTAAGTTTTAGGATGTTTTAATATAGGTAACAGTGAAGCATGAATCATGTTTTAACAAGAATTTTTACGTTTTCTTAGAGATTTAAAACTTCTTTTTACAAGTCCCTTAGGCAGCAGAATGAACCTCTCTCACTTATTGGATGAACAGTGCATAATACTTTGCATAATGAAATTAGGCAGCCTGAAGTACATGTGAACATGACTAATGAGACCAAATGCAGCAGGAAAACCAAGCAGATGGCTTGAGTGAGCTGGAACAGAGTAGCAAGGAGAGACCTGAATGTTTTGCAGTTTTGCAGGATACATACAGAAAAACAAATATAATTTTTGCATTTCTGTAGAATAGTGCATCTGTCAGCACTTTGATGGTCTACAGACCACAAGTGAGAGCTTGCCAGAACACTAATACTCTCTGAGGAAAATCTTTATGTGTCGTTTATGGAGATACAAAATGCAAACAAAATGGAGGTTGGGGGTAGTGGTTGTTTCTTTTGCTGTGTCTTRCTTTTGTAATTGCATTAAAAGATACTTAAGCTAGTGGCATATTTTTAATGAACTAGTTCTTCGTCAAAAGCCTGGTTTTTAGACACTTCCTCAGTAGTCTGAACATTTTGGGGGAAATGCAGTAAGAGAAAGAAGGCAGCAAGTATTAAAAGATGATGGGAAAAGGCTTTCTTATCAAGAAAGGTCAATGACCAACTTACAGAGCATCCTACCAGAGACACTAGAAGATGAAGATAAATTCAGTTTGCTCTCATTCCTTTCTGGGGGGACAAAAACTGTCCACAGAAAGATGAACTTTTCATTTCTATAACTTGAGCTAAAATGAGGGTTAGCGGACAGCTCACTTTGAGAGGTATTCACCTAAAGGTACAGCTCTGCTCTGCATGAAATACATACTGACACTGGCTATTTACATCGGCAATCCTAAGGGCTTGTCAGCAGTTATTTTATAAAGAACATGCAGCTTCAGAGAGAAAAAATATAAAACTGAGCAAATTTACAATGTCATCCTATTGCCATCTCTACCTCAAATGACTGGGATAAAATGCCTTCAAATGTGTATTTTCTGACCGCGGGTTGTTTTTTTTTGTTTGTTTGTTTTCACTAGAAAACTTTATGTAATGTTTTGGAAGAAAACATAAACATTACCTGGCATTGCAATATAAGGATATCTTGTCAACAAAATAATTACAACCAATATTCAGAAGAAAACTATTTAATTGATTTTTCTGCACCTGTCAATCATTAGTATGTTCCACTACTGATGATAATGCTACAGCTGCAGCCCCCTACCACATATTTGACTATTACGTGCTCCTAATATTCAGTGCTCTTAACACAATTTAGTAGTACAAAGTATTTATATTACCACCACAAACTATTGAAGTACAAAACTCACATATTCTTTAATCCCTTCAGTTAGTTTTTAAAGTGTATCTCTCCATTTTGTGCACTGGCCTCCCTTTTTTAAAAGTTCGGAATATTTAGAAACATAGAAAGAGACTGAATAATTCCATGAAGCATTATTCAGGTAAGAAAAAAAAAAAAAAGGACCAAAACTCACAAAACTGCAAAATTCTTTAGCTCTGGAAGAAAGTAGTAATATTTCCTTATTTTCTTTCAGGGATTTCTGACTGTATTTTTTATCTCCTGTGCTAAACAAAAATCATTTCTTTCAGTCTGAACCATACTGAAGTTATCTCCACTCTGAAACAACCACAGAAGTCTTTAATAATCTAGACCAGTAAGATCTTTCAGTCAGCCTTGACCTAAATTAATCAGGTGACATGTAGAGGTTTGGATGATCCCTTTATTTTACTGCAAACGATTGTTAATTACACCAAAGCACAAACTTTAAGCTTCAATTCATGCAATGTTATGAAGACTTTGTTACATGAATAATAACTTAAATAATACACAGACATAATTTCACCCTGAATTACTTTTGTCAGGTCTCCCTTTCAYCCTCCAAACACGGGCCATCTTTCAAAGTATCAGCAAAATCCAGCTTATATCACTATCCTTGTAGCTTTCTACAATAACTTGTGTTAAGTGTGAGTACCTACCACATGAGTAAAAACACAGGCTAATTGATCTCAGTGCCTCTTATGATCCATATAGACCAGGTATACAACAGTTTTGTGAGGAAAAGTGTCAACTGACAATTTCTATCTTGTCAGTGCTTTAAAAATTCTATTGTCCTTCTGCAAAGCTGTTTGTAAAGAAGTTCAACTGCAAAACTGGGTTTCTGTGATCTTCTGCAATAATTTTTATCAAGACAGAGGACTCAAACCCAAACTTCATATCATTTTAGGCTTGGTCTAACTTATGTAGGAAAACTAGCAACTTTAAAGGAAGCTGGTAGGAGCAAAGTGCAAAACAAACA